TTCTATCCCCAAGCCATCCGGGCCCTAAACACACACACCCGCCCTCTCACATCATCTATAAGTGACTGAGACAGGACTCTCTTCCAGACACTTAAACCCAGACACAATGTACATTTCAAATTCCTTTAATTTTAATTTTAAATATGTTTATATTGTCTATTCTTATGTCCATGTCGAGGAGCGTGTCAGGTTACATTTCACTGTGTGTTATACTTGTATAACTATGCATGTGACAAATAAAGAACCTTGAACCTTCATTATGTTTTATTTCCACTTTTCACAGTAATGCTGTTTCTAAGTTTTAAAATCACCGTACTGTATATTGGTGCTGATGTAAGAACACTGCATGTAGGGAATGACAGGAAATGATATAAAAACTTCTCATCTGTATAGGTTTATCATTATGATAAGTTCAAGTTATTCCATCTTCAAAAGGAAGACCATTAATGACTGATGTAATCACACTACACTTCACAATCGCACAAGTAGTGTAGATCCGACACAATCTTATTTGAAGGCAGTGGCAAAGATAGCCTGAAAAGTAATGTTTCTGTCCTGCTTGTCCTCCATTCTGACATCAGTGAAGCCGGAGTCTCTCAGAGCTGCCATGTAGGCCTCTGGGCGCCAGTTTTCCCCTGGCATCACCCCCTTCGCTGCAATCGTAGCCACACGAGAAAGCCTCAGAGTTGTGACCATCAGGGCTCCTGGGTGGGTTAAAAAGACGGGGAAATACAATTTGAGAATCATTATTTAAAGACAACTTTTGGAACTAAATCTGTAAATAAAGTTTGCCTGACTGTCGTGGCATTACCTGGCTTCATCACCCGGTGGATTTCTGCGGCTCCTTTTCTAAGATCAGGCCAGAAGTAGTAGCAGTTACAGTGAAAGACTCTGTCCACAGTGCTGTCTCTGAGAGGCATTGCTGCTACGTCACAGTGGTGGAGGGTCACTTTTTTACTCGCTATCAGTTCCATCATTTGTTTCTTTGCCATCTGTCAGACACAGAAGAATTACAACATTGTCCCTGATTAGCAGCTATGCTTCTCTAAGGTCTCAGCTGCCTGCTCAGCAGAGCTTGATTTGTATTTATGTTTTTAATATACAACCAAGGTATGAACGCACAACACATCAAACCTTAAAGAAGCTGGGCCAGACCAC